GTAGGCAAAGATAATCTGCGTAGAAGGATACATGACGTGGCATTTATTTCCAGCTCAGCAATATAGATGTAAATTTTGAAATTATTTAGTAATTAACATAAATAAATAAGTTAAAAAACAACAACCACTGACTGGAGGTTTGGAAAAATCAACAAACATCATTCATGGCCAATGATAAGTCAACAAACAACTTGAAATATTTAAGTACTGCATGACCATACTTTTGCACAGGATTTCCAAAGTAGTCCTTCTCAGTTATATTGTTATATTGTTTGTTCTTAGTGTATGAGGTACTAAGAACATGCTTCACGAGACACTGTAGACGGAAAAGAAAAGGTCTGCTTCGAGCTGGCTCTCATACAAACGTAACAATGTTTTACAGAATGTACAGATGACTGCAGGCCTATTTCCACCTCTATTGTTATATACCTGATCCAAAAGATACATTGTTTCATATGCCTTCAAGCTATGCTGTGTTCCCAATTGCCACATCAATGCCTTTTATGTGATGATTTTGCATGTGTAGCACTATATTGAGTTTCTAATTATTTCCTAACTAAGTAGACAAACTGACTATAATGATACACTGCGATTAATAAAGTAATAATATATCTCAATCAATTCAAATAAAACATAAAAGCATAGACAGACAGACAGACAGACAGACAGACAGACAGACAGACAGACAGACAGACAGACAGATAGATAGATAGATAGATAGATAGATAGATAGATAGATAGATAGATAGATAGATAGATTTCCAAAAATAATGGTTTGGGATTAGCTATCACTCAGTTATATTTAAATGTAGATATGGTTGATTGGTGACCCTTCGATGAGAACCAGAGTTTATATGACTTTATAGAGAGATCCCATACAGTGATATAACTTCATCACATGCATGTACAGTTCTCCTTTATACTGGGATCCTGTTTCTGACAAAAATACAGCATTGCATGAGTGATTTTTCAGAGTATGTAGAAGGAGTATGATAAAGCAGTAAGCAAACAAATGTGCTTCCCCTAAGCCATGTAAAGAATCACATGTAAATTCACATAACCTAGAAACATTAAAATATATAAGTCTTATTTTAGAACAGATGCTTATATTTTAGAAACTATTTTCCTGTGATAATCAATTATATCCACTGACCTTTATTTTTAGTTCCTTTAATTTATTTTAAAATTGCATTAAACAATTGGTACCCATTACCGAGTCAGATTCTAGCTTCTGCTTTGTTGACCATAAAATCCATTACAAGCACAGGGCTAAGATATTGAAAGCATATTTCCCTTGTCTCGTTGAACTGAAGTATACATACAGACTACCCATTGATGAAATACATTATTTTAGAAGTAACTCTGATGCGGAATTGCCCTGCCTGTCGAGGGATTTCATTCATTAATGCTATCCATTTATGTACCAGAATTATGATGAGGGTCACATACCCACACATAGCACACATAAGTGGGAGGTAGAAGTCAACAAATTGAATTTTATGCATTACATCTCTTTCGTACATGTCAAACCAGCTCAATATGTCTTGTGAATCTTTTCCCTTTGGTCCAATTAAAGGTTATAGGATGTGATGTTTTATTGGACTGTAGTGAATGCTACCCTCTTCTACTAACATGTACAAGCCTCACACATGCATAACTGCCACCATTCTGTATACACAAAGTCCCAAACACACACCTATGGTAATGGGGTTTATGTAAATGGTACTACTTTCTGTGGGGTCACAACAAATTTGTTGTTGTTGCTAAAGCTAAGTTAGGACTAACAAAATAGTAAGTCATTACTTCTGTCCAGGTCAGGTTATATCACTCTGTTAGTGAAATAAATTCTCATGCAAAGAACTTTGCAGAGAGATAGAGGGAAAAAGACCTAGCTTTAAACTAGCTCCTGGGTCCCTACTGCTGCTATTCCAGTGTAGCAAATTCTATATACATTATATCACTCTGTTGTTTAGGTCAATTCACCCTTTAAAAAAAACAAAACGTCACAAGGGGATCATCAACCATCAAATGAATGCAAACCTGCTCTTATAAAAAAAAAAAGAAAAATAAGTAAATATATATATATATATACATATATATATATATATATATATATATATATATATATATAAAACCAAGAATGTTATGGTGGGGGAAATTGTGATTGAAAACCCCTTCCACCTGAAGTCTGTGGATAGTCAATACAATGTTAAAAAAAGGTCTGCACACGAGTCAAGCCATAAAACATGCTTTTCCCATGGAAATCACAAAGTTGCAGTGAATCAAGTCTTATGAGAGAGAGAGAGAGAGAGAGACCCCTCTTCTTTTTTAGGTATTGTCTATTGAAAGCTATGGATTTTATTATATTTTGTATATTTTTGTACATATCTACATATAAATAATACAAGCCGACATTTCCTAATTCACTGACCTTTTAGTTGTCCTCCATCAGTCCTTTCTAGATATATACACACACACACATATTATATATACACAGGCATCATTTTTATATTGTTTTAGAGCTGTTTCCTACTAAAAGATCAGTGAACTGGGACACATAGGTTTATATTATTTATATGTAGATATGTACAAAATATACAAAATATAATGAAATCCATACCAATCAACAGACAATGCTACAATGCATAGAAAGGGAAATAAAAAGAGGGATGGATGGATAGATAGATAGATAGATAGATAGATAGATAGGTAGATAGGTAGATAGGTAGATAGATAGACAGACTATAATTATGTGTGTACATGCATACGCCATACCATATGGCAAAAAAGATACTCACTTAGAGATTTTTTTTTACCTTTGTTTAAGCAACAATATATGTAGACTTGTAAATGGAAACAATTTTCCTGAACTCAGATATTGTGGTAACTGGGATAGATCATTTACTTAGTCTAATTACACTAATGGCAGTGAGTATCAGTTTCCACCACTGCTCCACGGGTCAGGCCCTCCTTAATTTATGTATGCATTTGCCTTTTCATTTACATAGCCTGCCTCCAAATTCAATATAGTGAGAAATGCTGACATGCATCAACTGGAGCTGCATGCACTTGAATGAAATCCAAATAAATCATTGACAGGGTATACTACTGCAGTATACTCAACATATTAAATAAGGGTCACAGGCTAGATCTATAGGTTATTGAAGGATTACATCTCAAGAACGCAAAAACGCAGGAAGTACAAAATGAAGGCAAACCTTAGTTAAGATTTGAGATTTGTATTCCCTGCACTCCCAGGATATCATGGCATAGATAAAACCAAATAGAGGGTGACCCAGCAACAGCCTTAGAATATTGAGGCTTGCGGACCCTTCTGTCAGAGCTAGCAGAATATCACCCTTTAAAAAAATGTGAGAATTCAACAAAGTATAAAATGCCTTAAACAAAACTCCATAAACAAATGAAAGGTGCAGGCAAGTAATTGGGTCAGCCTGCTATAAACCCTTTGAAATATCAGCTTGCAAATAGAAATGCAGGCAAGCTACCTGCCTTTTATACTTCAATTTGAGATAATAGCAAATGTTGCTCCTATTGAAATATAATCAAAATGGTAAATGTGTTCACCTGTTTGTGTGTGTCTCAGACTTAGAAGATGACATAAAATAAAACAAAAACAATATTTAGCTCTTATATTGCAACAAAGCTGCTGGTCATAAATTATTTATATTAATAAATGAAAAGTAACAAAATATATATAAACAATCAACAAAAAATGGAAAGTTCTGCACAACTTGTCTTGGTTTAAATATATATATAAACCAAAACAGGTTGTGCAGAACTTTCTTTTTTTTTTTTTTTGTTAAATATATTGCCTGGCTGAAGATTCAATGCCATAAAGAAAAATATGCTACTTTTCCTACTTATACCATTTATAAATCAACAATATCTACTAAAGATATGTTAAGGCTTAGGGGATTATGAACTGGACATTGAGAGGACAAGTTGCTTATTTTGATTAGACAGGTCAGTTGGCACTTTACTGGCTAGTTAACAAACTCCTAAATTATGTTTGCATTGTTTGTGATAAAAGAAATGTGGTTTATATAACCACTGATAGGGGTTTATTCACTTAACAGTTAGTAGGGATCACTTGAGAACCATATGGTAAGATTAGTGTTGAAATAGCTGAGCTAGTCCATATTTGACATTGAATTCCAATTCTAAAATGTTGGCCTTGGTTTTAAAAGCCAGTTCTCAAATCATCAAAACTCACTGTTTAGTGAATAGATCCCATAAACCTAAGAGCCAGGCTATTCAAACATATTAAATCTTAAATCGGTCACATGGGCAATACATATGAAGCAGTAAAAAGGCTAGACTGTATTCCCAAACAATAAATTGACACTTTTCTTTCCCGCAGCCTTTATGTGGCTTAAGAAAAGATGTATCACTTGATATGTATATGTATGTAATTAGAACATTTAGTTCAAGGAGAATATATTTAATTTTTAAGTTAAAAAAAATAAAAATATTATATATATAATAAATATATATCAATACTGCTATAAACCTGTCATACCGTATTATAATATATTTTATAAAACACTACAGTTATTTTATGCTAGCACATATCAACTATTACAGAATATTAAAGAATACTAAACATGCCTTTGTCTGGCTGTTAGAATATATCAAAATTAAACGCCAGCCACACAAGCAGCTAGTGGGGTGAATGGGTTGAATTTGGGAACATTAATGCAAAAGCAATCTGCCAGGAACCACACAACATAACATTAGACAGACATTAGCCCATGCAGTGTTACAAAGATTGTGATACTCTCCAAGTTCTTAGAATGCCATATTGGAACAAAATAACATAATAAATCACTTTGGAAACATGCCCAGCTTATTTCAGAAGATTTCTGAGTAGTGTTTAGAATAATCCTTTTTGGTGCTAAGGAGGTTAGCAATACTAGCTTACAGTAACTATAGCCCGTGACATATATATATATATATATATATATATATATACATACATACATACATACATACCATACAAACACACCAGTAGCTTTTGTGTATATATATATATATATATATATATATATATATATATATACATATACACAAAAGCTACTGGTGTGTTTGTAGGTATGCGTGTATATATATATATGTGTGTGTCTGTATTTGTGTATATATATATATATAAATATATATACACACACACACACATATATCATACATACATACATACATATGTATATGTAGATATATACCATTGTAGCTTTTTTGTAAAGTACATTTGCAGCTGTTTTGTAACAACTGGTCCTTTTTCAGTCACTGACTATAGTGACTATAAGCTAGTATTGCTAACCTCCTCCTTAGCACCAAATATATACACACATGTGTAGCCAATTTTAGAGCTATGTATTTTTTGAAAATAAAAAATACAGTATTTATATCTTATCTATACTAGATTTTAATGGATAAAGTCATATTGTGTTATCACATAGTATGTGTGCTGCTCTATGTTATTTGTCCTAGCAATTAATGGGTGACGTAAAATTCAAATAAAGTGTGTCTCCTTTAACTTGTCCCAAACCTTGTATTGAAGCAGGCCTAGTGTTGCTATGACTACAACCACTAGCATTCACAGCCAACATTTGATGGTTAAATAGCATCATTTCAACAAATTCTTTTTCCAAAAAAGGATGCAAGTGAACTTTATTCAGCCATCAAATCTGACCTGACATTGTGATGTTTGGAGGCTGGCATAAAAATATAGTTCTTTGGGACTTCAAACAATGTCGTGGAACATATGACCATTAGTGACATCAGCCTGTGGAGTTGTTGCAAGTCTTTGCAAACTGCCACTGTGTTTCACTGTGTTGGCTAATGCTCTGCTGAATGAATAATGAAATGGTACAGAGTTCAGCTTGGAAACATTGTGCATTAAACAGGAATCCAATTTATTTCACCTCAAAATACTGAATAAAATATGAAGTTACAGTATTACAAAATAGGTTTGATTATTTCTTTAGCAGGATATAAACATTTACTAGATTATATTAACGTCATCATATCCCTAATGTCATTAAATAGCTGTTTTTTTCAGCTCGGGCCTTTTTTAAGTTTTAGGGAGGGGAAGTGGGCTGTTTAGTGTGATTTTGACCATTTACCCAAAAGATATAACTGCACATTTTAAAAAAGTAAAATGGTTAAAATGGCACAAACATGGTATTATTCTTTATTGTGCAGATTTTGTACATCTGTGGCACCCCCTCCCTTTTGGACTACCATTCTCATAATACACAGGCAGTCAAATGGCTGAGTGTTATGAGAAATGCATTCCATAATAATTTGGGAAACAAGTGTTATACATCATTGCATATATTTGCTGAAAATGAATAATGCAGTGCTTGCTTATCACACGTTGTAAGTGTAACTTACCTGTTTGCTGTACTTGTTATTGGTCTGACAGCTGTACTCAGAACAATGATCTGATCCAATTGAGATATTGTCTCCTGCTCCTACAAAAGTATTGGCTGGTGGTAAGTCTTGCACAGCCTGGTGTTTCTTCCCAGCAGTTGGTGATTGAGGGTGAAGCTGCACAGTGGGTAGAGGGGAGCTAGATTTGTAATGCCTGGCAAGGTCTGGGCTCCCAGGACCTCCATTCACAGTTCTGTATCTTCCCATGCTAGGGCTCTCAGACAACTTCTCATTCACACTGTCATATCTCTGCCCGTTTGGCTTTGAGGCTTCCACTGTCACTATGCTGCTGTACAATGGCTGTTTTGATTTTTTATTTTTCTTGTCTTTTTTGGGTTTCTTAGACTTGTCATGCTGTTGGGGAGTGAAAAAGTCCTCGTGGTCTTTTTTACCAGCTTCATAACCATTTTTGTTCTTGGCTCTACAGTACCTGGCCATGACCACCACTAGTATGATAAGAATGACAGTCATAATTCCAGCCACCACGCCAATGACTATGCTAAGCCTCTGCTTGCTCATTTCATAGCTCGGATCACCGGCTATGTTCTGACTTAATGGGGTGTGCAAACTTCTGGAGATTTGGGAATCGACAACAGAGGCATTGGAGACGGTTTCATTGACAAACACGTGGACCAGAGCTGTTGTAGACTGGGAGGGTTGCCCACTGTCATTGACTCCCACCACTAACCTGTGCAGACCATAGTGATTTGACGCTAGCTTTCCAACCAGAGACACCACTCCACTGGTGGGATTGATTTCAAAGAGCTTAAAGGGATTTCCTCCCACTATGCTGTAGTTCAGTTCAGAATTGACACCAGTGTCAGTATCGGTGGCAACCACAGTGGTGACGATAGTCCTAACACTACTTGAAGGTGGCAGCAAGGTGTAGGAACTATTGAGAGGCAAAGAAACTGTAGGAGCGTTGTCATTCTCATCCATGACAAAAAGGGACACGGTGGCTGTAGCAGACTTTGGAGGATCCCCACCATCCACAGCTTTGACTTTAAAGATGTACAAGCTTTGATATTCCCTGTCAAAGGACCTTGTTGAGTAAATGGTGCCAGTGTCATTTTCAATAGAAAAAATATCACCATCCTCTTCAATGAATAAACTCATCTCTGCATTCCTTCCTTTGTCAGCATCCATCACTGTCACCATCCCAACAGGACTGTTGGGCTGCAAGTTTTCCTTCACATAAAAGTTGAACACATCCTGCATAAACTTGGGGTCATTGTCATTTTTGTCAGCCACTTGTACCACCACAGTAGCAGTCCCCTGAAGAACAGGAATACCTTTGTCAACAGCAACAACTTTGAACTCGTATCTGTCAGTCTGTTCTCTGTCTAGAATGATATTTACCGTTATATCCCCTGTGTCTGGATGAATTGAGAAGATTCCAGCCATTGAAGGGTCCAGAGAATAGGCAATTTCTGCATTCTTACCGCTGTCAGCATCACTGGCCAACACTGTGGCAACTCTTTCCCCAGGCACATTGTTTTCAGGGAAGGCTACTTCCACTATAGCTTGGCTAAAAGTTGGTGAGTTGTCGTTGGTGTCTCCCACTTTCACGATGAGGGAATTGCTGCTGGACAAACTGGGGCTTCCTGAATCCACAGCTACAATAGTAACATTGTATTCCTTGATGTTTTCATAGTCCAGTGGGGCAGAGGTGTGGAGGAAATACTTTTTCTTGTTCTGATCCCCCTCACTGTCACTAGCAGGTTTGAGTTGGAATGGGACATCTCCAACCACAGTGCAAGTGACCACACCATTTTCACCCTGATCCCTGTCTGACACCTGGACAAGGGCTATGGGGGTGTCCACTAAGACATCTTCTGCCACATTGGCCATGCCATCTTTCACTGGGATCCTGCCTATCTTCCTAATGTCTATGATGGGAACATTGTCGTTTTCATCCTTGATGTTGAGGATCACGGTGGCCTTGTCTGTCTTTGGGGGTTGTCCCCTGTCCCTGGCCATCACAGTGAACCTGAGCTGGTTGACTTCTTCTCGGTCTATCCTGTGCAGGACGCTGAGCCAACCCGAGTTCTCGTCCAGCCTGAGCAGCCTCCTCACTGACTCGGTGGCAGCTCCAAACACGTACTCAATCTGCCCATTTACCCCTACATCATAATCGGTGGCTTTCAGCTGTAGGATGGGGGTACCGGGGGCGCTGTTCTCAGCCAAGTCCGCCTCGTACACACTCTTCTCGAACCTGGGGCTGTTATCATTAACATCGGTGATGAGGACCCTGAGGATGGACTGAGAAGATCGAGGTGGCTCCCCACCGTCCCTTACCCGCAGGGTCAATTCGTAGGAGTCTCGCTGCTCCCGATCCAGGGCCCCCTTCACAATGAGCTGTGGCTGTTTCTCCCCGTCCGATGTGTCGGCAACCTGCAACTCGAACACGCTGCTCCTGCCGTCCGACTCCATCCTCCTCTTGCCCGGGTAGAGGGCGCTCTCCCCGGCCTCCATGCGTCCTCCGGAGCCGATGCTCCCTCCACGCCTGCTGGAACCGAACGGGCTCTCCCCGGCGTCTTGGATGAGTTCGTAACGTTCTATCCCATTCCTACCGAAGTCTCTGTCTGTGGCAGTGGGCAGGAGATACAAGGTCCCCACCGGCCGGTTCTCCTCCACCGTCAGGGTGAGCACGGGGGACGGGAAGGTCGGGGTGTTATCGTTAATGTCCAGTATGACCACCCTGCCCTCGAACAGCTCCACCCAGCTCTGAGAAGGTCCGATCACGGACACCTCGAAGTCTATGAAGCACTCGTTCTCGTCGAAGATCATCTGGCACTGCGGGAGCTTCTCTCGGTCTATCCGGCGCTCTGTGGTGCTCAGCTCCCCTGTCATGTTGTCTATCTTGAAAAAGTCAGATCCAGACTCCAGGCTGAAGGTCACGTCCCCGGAGCCCGTCGCTATTCCGATCTCAGAAGCCACATTCCCAATCCGGATATCGGCTGGACCTTCCTCAGCCAGCCGGTACTTGAGCAGCTGTTTGGAGGCTGCTAGAGTCAGAGACATCCTCAGCAGGAACATACACAAACCCCAAGCAGTCCTCATGGCTCTCAGCTCACCCTCTGGCACTGAACCCTCCTGTTGAAATAAGCTATAAAGGATGGCAGACTTGGACCCAGCACCAGCCAAGTTACCCTCTCATAGTCCGCAGCACCCGTGTAAGTAGCAGATTCGATGGCCACTTACTTCATCCTTGCACTTCCCGGGACAGTAAGGTCCACAGTGTGCCAAGCTCAGCTTCCAGCAGATGCCTTCAATCCCAGTGCACACAATCCGAGCTGATTTGCTGAGCACAGGACTTTTTTTTTTTTTTTTTTATTCCACAGTTGTAAGTGAGGGAGATCCTTTTTTGGCTTTTTCGTGACAAAAAAAAAAATATCAGGAGCAAAAAAAAAAGAAAAACACACACAAAAATATAATAAATCCCAAAGCTTATTTTCCTGAAAATCCCTTGTTAAAAAAAAAAAAACAACACACAATCAGGAGTCAGTTCCAGCAATATCTGTAAAGTTCTTATAAAAATCTCAAATGAGGATTGATGGATAAAAAAATGATTAGAAGGATGTAAGTAATTCCCAGGATTGAGGTCCACACAGAGAGCCCTCAAGTTAGTAGTCCAACCGCAGTTGGTGCTCTGCTACCTGCATTTGCACTGCA